CATAAGTGCCAGCTTATTTTACTATGCTGGGTTGTAAACTGCACCAATTCAGCAGTTGCTTTATGAGCAGCTGAACCATCCCAGCAGTGGCAACAGTAATCACAGCCCTCTGAAGATAAGCCACCCTGGATCATGAATCAAAGTCCTTTAAGAAGCTATAGAAAACTCCCAGCAATCTGCACACCACTCCGCTGGGCGTAAGCACATCCACAGCTACATCGTGCTGATTACGATGCTGTGCAAGGTGATTGCACTTTGTTTTTGGAATGCACAAATTAGTCAGATGTGACAAATTTTGCCATTTGTAAGTAGAGCTCTGCTTTTCAAAGAGAAGAAAACGTCACCCAACGTCTGCTTGGGCAAATGAGGTTTCTGTCTTTCTTATTTGTGGAATTCTGCTTTTGATACAACTGTGAATATGCAACAGGCAGTAAATGAGACACTAATAATAATTACAATAGCTATCAGCTTCAGACTTTAAATAATTGCTGGTATCAAACCAATACCTAATGTATATCACAGGCTTTGTTCCTCCTAAGAAAAAAATTCTTAAGTGCAGATACCTGCTCTATTACTCATTTTTTCTTTAAAACAATTGATTTTTTTCCTGCTGTGAATAGTGTGCTCCCATGTAGATTTTTCCTGTTGTTACACTAGAGAGTAGACAAATTGCACCCTCACTTCTTTCTGCTCTGCAATCTGCATTTATTGTATCGACTGAAAGCTGCTGAAGGAGTATAGCTGGCCCTCTTTAATCCATGGAAACATATTAACCTCTGTCTCTGTACTATAAAGGTTCCAAAATTTGAACAAGACATGCTGAGAAAGTAAGCTTACAGAGGAAGCGAGATCAATACTGGAAGAAGCAACAAAGAGAGACATGGGGATGAAAGTCAAGTACCACATTTGAAAACAAACAAGGATTGAAGAGGCCCAGACAGCACTCGCTCTGTGAGCCGACCACAGTGCACTGTTTAAGTCTCTGCTGTTGCAATTTGCATGTCTCTGACCTGACAAAACCAATAAGCACTATATGGAAGGAAAAAAAATGTTTTCACATTCAAATATTTAGGTAACAGCAATTCAGAAAATTTACACTCCTCACCATGAGCGTCAGTGTTGAAAAAGCCAGTAAGGAGAGCCGTGTTTTTCCAGAGAACTGACACTGCTTATGTAGAGGGACCCTACTTGATTAAGGAATAGCAGTTTGGATTACTTCCAGTAAGCCCTTTTCAAAGGATTATCAACATTTAGCAAGATGACCAGGTTTGTAATCAAGCTTCAATGAGTGAATAAATTACCTTAACAAGAGTGGTCAAAGTAAGCAGCTTCTCCCTAGGACAGAGTACTTCAAGAGTAACTTGAAGAGCTATGTTTGTGTAAAGTCAAGACTGCAATTATCCTTCCCCTATAGACTGCATAAAGTTTCTCCCACACTTAAAATTTAAATACTCCAAAACCTCGCTACTGTATTAATGCAATAACCTAGGAGACGTGGTTGCCCAAATCCCATTGAAAATCCAAGCTGTAGACTGTATAATTCACTAAGGAAATAAAAGCTTTTCCAGAAAACACGTATAGGCTACCGCCACTCAGCCTGCTCAGTGTCTAAAACACTACTTCATGATTTGACTATAACCCATCACCCAACTCTCAGAGATAAAGGATGGGTAATATTCCTTTTGTACACCAGTTTTGTGAGACACTGGGAAGGGGACATCTCTGAAGAACATGGCTACTGTGAAATTCTCTGACAGAACTCTTACTGGAGGGCTACATCTGTCACCACCAGTTGACAGCACTCCCATTTCCAGCTGGTCTCCAATTAACTGATAACGTGTTACTGCTACTTTTTATAGTACCAGGCAGGAAATGCCATCTTAGCAGAGAAACGTGTGCAGTTCATGCTTAAGCAGTTAAAGACTATTTCTGATAAAGTAAAACCCAAATGGCAATAGCTGCCTGCATTCCAATACTCTGTCCTCAAAACCAATTTGCCATTTGTAGTTTGACAGAAAACATTCTACTTTATTTTCTGACAGCAGAAAAAAGATATAATTCTGACTGCTGAAATGATATAACGTCAGCAACTAAAAAAACTTTTGCCCAGCACATATTCAACCAGAAACTTCAATGCCTACAGATCTGTATTATTTTTAAGAAGCAAAGCAACTGTCAGCGAGGCAGTCGTTGTTCAAGGCACCAGCTATCAACCTACACACCCAGCCAGTGTTCAGCAGCCTCACGGCACTTACTTGGAGAACCTCTCCACAAGAGCTGAGGACTTATTCTTGTTGGCCAGAGAAAGCTCTTTCGCAGTGATTTTCAAAGACTGTGAAGTCCACTGTCTTCTATTAAACAGGGAAGGCTCCATCTTATCACCACAAAGACCTGCTCAGGAAGAAAGTACAGAGTCAGTCAATATGAATTATGTGAGCAGAAAAATAGTTTCACAAAGTGATTCGATACTAAGTCAACATTCAGGTGCTCCCAATGCACTAGTGCCACCAAGTCCTGACCATTCAGGATCTTGTCCGTCAACTGACTTAAAAAAAGGTATCAGATTAAAATTACAACTCCCTCTGCAGATGCCATTGAGGTGGTGCCGCTGACAAAAACGCCACAAAGAACGGCGTGAGAGAGAAGCTGTAAGCCAGAGCAGGAGTAAGATGCAAGCTCTGATTGAGGAGGATGCTGATGGGCAGCTCTGTATTTCCTAAGCACCCGTGGGCTCCAGGAAGCTCTAATATGCCCTCCCTTGGTCTGGTTTCTAAACCAAATGTGCTGGCATTTTATGTAAGAAGGCTTGAGTTATGAAACCTAAGAGGATGTAATTCCTATGCAAACATTTTTCATTCACCCTTGTGGTGTTCATTCTTCAGGCAGCAGCCGTTTCCTCTGTGAGCTAAGTCTTCTGTTCACAGAGGCAGCTGTAAACCTCCTGTTGCAATAGCTATCAGTTACCTAAAGGAATAGTTTTAACCACCCCGTCCTGCTGTACACGGGAAGAGATTTTATACAGCTTTGCACCACAGAAGCCAACAAGACTATGCCAGTGTTTTCTTTACATACTCAGTTTTCTTTTGTGGAGGAGGAAAGGAGGGGAGATTAATTTAAAGAGTTCTCTGATAAGACAAAAATAAAGCTTGTAGGGCAACGCCTTTCCTTTTTTCCTCTTTCATCCCTGATCTCATGTCACACAATGCCTGTACCAAGTGCAGTAACTGATCCTACAAGGCTAACATCAGGCAGGCTGATCTCTTTCTCATATTTTCCATCAAGTCCTTTAACTGATTTGCACCATTAGATCACAGAACTCTGGGAGTCTGCGTACAGGTCTGCCTGACCACTAGTTACACTGTAAATGGAAGCACCTTAAGACAACTTGGTATAAACAGTCAATCAAAAGTAGGAAAGAGCACGTTTCCGAAATCCTCGTGGGCATATAATGCAGCTGCTCAAAAAGGACAAAGACTTGGGATTCTGAAACGCCTCAGTCCTGAAGAATTCAGCTGCAGCAAGCAGACTCTCACTGACTGTGAGCTGTGAATCTCAGCAATTTCCAGTGCTGAACGGGGAGCTCTGGGTCTGTGAAGTGCCCCGCTGGTGCTGGAACCAGAGGAACCTCTCCAGTGCCTCGCCCTGCTGCTGCGTAGAGATAAAACAGGCAGCAGATGAACACGTTGCTGTCTTTGTGGATACAGTCAGGAACAATGGGACTTTCTCTCACATTCCTTCATTCACCTGATGTAATGGAGAGAATGACACACCACGCCAGCACACGTTTTTTCAAGACAGCGATTTAGGTGATGCTTTTAGATGTACAGATTGAACTATCGTGGCAAACCAGAAAAGTTACACTACTTTTGTCATGATGTTGAAACACACTGAAACTACTCGTCAATGTTACATTTCTTTCTGCAGCTTACCGCAGCTTCAGACTCGCACCGCTCACTTAAGGCAGTCTCTAAAATGCCCATCCAACAGGCAAGAGAAACTCCTTGCTGAAATTCATGCTTTCTTGAAAACCTTCCGCACCACTGAATATCCTGGGTTTGGCTGGGATAGGGTTAATCACCACAAGAAGCCAGGAGAGGGCACGGCCGGGACGGCTGACCCAAACTGCCAAACGAAGGGGATGCTTGGATACCTGCTACCCTGTGACGTCACACTCGGTATGGAAGGGACCGGGACTCGGGAGTCGCGCAAGACGCTGAGGAAGGGAAGGACTCTGATTTAGCCCCTGTAACGCACCGAATCCACCTCCAGTACCTCCAGCTAAGACTTCAACGGTCGGATAAAACCCCACGTTAGCTGGAAAGGTCCCGAAAGCAAAACTTGTTATTAAGGGCTGCTGCAAAGCGGGGCTGGCTGACTCGCTGCAGGTGGCTAACGCGTCTGCAGAACGGGCCGGCTGCCGAAGCAACCCCCAGCTCCTCAGAGCG